TATTTGAGAATTTAGAACATGAGTTAGAATGAAAGAATAACTTCAGGGCTACATTAATTTACAGACACACACTAATTTCTTCTAAGCCATGTGTGGTGGTGCAGGACTATCCTTCCAGCAACTGGAAGGCTGAGGCAGGAAGATCACAAGTTAGAGGCCTGCCTCAGCATTTAATGGTTAAGCTCCCTTGGTTTCAATTCCTGGTACCACCAATATATAAATAAATAAATAAAACTATAAATATAGAAGTAGAGGATTCTGAAATAATGTCCCTGAGTTCAATAATTAAATCTTATTAGGTCAAGTGGAAATTTCTTTAGCAAGTTGTTCCTTATAGTTTCTCTTCATGCAATTTTTCTAAATCAATTATATCTTTAGTATCCTTAATCTGCATGATACAATAATAAAAACTCATTCAAACTTCTTATTCAATCCTCATTATTATCCTGTGAAATAGGAATCATTATAACAATTACTACCAATGCCCAGCACAAAAATCAGCACCCTAGAAGTGCTTTTACAAGTGTTTCACCTTAGTTTTTCATTCACCCAATGCCAGATATGTAGTTAGCAAATAGTAGGAAGACCAGAAACAGAAGAGAATAAGCATGGTGAGCTTTGGAAGCCATAAATAAACAAATCACAAGGAAGAGAGGAAACTCTTTGCAGAAAGGAAGACAGAATCCTGGTTGTGGCTCACCATGATAGGGGAACTCACAAATAGGGAGGGATGGATTTGGAGGGATTATAAACCACCTCCAATGTAATAAGGGCTACACTGAGTCCTGAGCAATACACAGAGCTCTATGAAACACAGCTACAGTTGCTAGGACTGTTTTTCCTTTTCTTCCTACGAATTCTTAAGTTGATCCTCACTAACTGAGGTCATTTATATCAGTTGCAATATGAAAACTCCCCAAACTTATATTAACCAGTAATTTTTTTCTAAGCAACGCCTTATTTGGAAGAAAGATTTTTGTCTCCTCACTCATTCATTTTCTGACTTCCCAGAGATCAACTCAGCTTTGTCCTTAATGTTTAAGATTATATAACCTAAACCAACACTATTGGTCAAAATAAATAAATAAAACTCTACTCCTTAAATTACAGATTTCCTATACTCCCTTATCTTTCTATATACATAAATTTATTGATAAACTTTTCACAATGCATGAAATTAAACATGCTACGGATGGAGTGTTTGAGCTCTGGAATCAGAAATGTAGGTTCAAACTCAGGTCTGTCGTGTTCCAGCAGTACAATTTGGGGGCAAATATTTAACCTCTGTACCTCAATTTCTTCATGTATAACAGCTTGATTTAAATTTTGATTTTTAATTTTTTAGAGTTTTGTGAAATAAATGATATATTCCATTTAAAGCACTTAGCAAAGTGTCTGGCACAATATTAACTGTTACTTTTATTCTATCAAAAATATTTGAGGACTGGGAGTATAGCTCAGTGGTAGAGTGCTTTGCCTAGCATGCATGAGACCCTCAATTCAATCCCCAGAACTGAAAAACATTTTTTTTTAAATTTAGGCAAAATTCACTAGTGTTTAGTAAATGTTGTAAAGTTTTCAGGTATCTGGTAGAGAAACATCTGTCTAGGCTGTGGAGATTGAATTCTCAAAATTAGAATCATAGTAGCAAAAATTGAGATTCAAACCCACACCTCCCTTCACTTCTGGGCTCTGGGATTTCTCCTTAATTTCCCTTCTCCTACTTTTCCACATTTATTGAGCCCATACTATTTGGTAAGCATTGCTGTCATGGGGACAAAGAAATGGGAGACACTGTTGCAGAAGCACTCAGAGGAATGTTGAGGAACCAGACATATATAAATACTTAAAAAAACTGGTAGTAGATTCCATGATAGAGGCAATGGCCAGATTCTGTTAGAGCCCAGAGAGGAAGCCTGTTGACTACTGTGAGGTGGCAATCGCTGAAAAGGGGACTACCAAGGAGGGCTTCCTATTAGAAGTTAAGTCTTGAAGTTTGAGTACCAAGGGAAACCAGGTGAAAGGCAGGTAAGAGAGACACAAACAGCTGTAATTACATCTGCAGATGCAAAAGGATGAGAGGGAAAACAGCTTGTTCAAGGAAACACAAGTGACTCAGTATGCCTGGAAAACAAAACAAACAAATGTGTGGTAAAAGATTGAGGAGAAAAGCAAGAACTAGGATGGTTAGAGGCCTCCATGCCATACTGTGGGGGTTAACCCAAATTTGTTCTAAATGGTACCGAACCATGAACAAACTTGCATGTTGGAAAGATTGTTCTGACATCAGAATAGAAGTTTGATGGAGCCAAATCACACTAGAAACAAGAATATGATTTTGCAGGTGCTGCAAAAAGTGACAGGAGATATAATAGACCTCTTTTATAAAGGCCTTAATCACATTCATGAGGGAAGAGCTTTCTTGACCTAATCACCTCCAAAAGGCGCCATTTCTCAATACTAATGCATTAGAAATTAACTCATTTGTCCTATTGTCTCAGATGTGAAACACCTATAAAAACGTAAGTATGGCATATAGTATATGATTATATAATATGTAACATATGATAAGCATATATAGTACTTATATTAGCTAATATAACATTATATATAAATTTTTAGATTTATATATAATTATTAGATTACAACTTCCAACCTATTTAAAATTTTTAGATTTATCTATTGATTAGATTACAATTTCCAATCTATTTTAATGCACCTGTGTCAATTTCATTTACATATTCACATAATTGAAAACTTGGGACTTAATAGGTTAAATCGCAACTTGAATTTTTGGGGACACAAACATTCAAACCACAACAGAATGAAAAGAGCAGGGAATGATAAATTGTACAAAAGGGAAAGAGAGAAGTTAATAATAAATGAGGTTGAGTAATAAAACAACAGAATTCAATGGCTATTAAGAGAATGTTTTAATAGTCTGATTTAACAACTGGAGTAGTTCTGGAATATGACAGGGACTAGATTTAGAAGCAGGTAGCTAAAGTGAAGTAAAGATGAGGGTCCACTGTAGTTGAGAGGTTGAGGATTTTCTAAGAATAATGTTTTGAGATAATAATCTCCATAGATTTAGATAATGATCCAAGATAAAGGTGTATCTTTTTTATGAACAAGATGCCTCTCCATTTCAAGGTGCCTTAAACGGATAATTACCCCAAATGGGGAGAGGAGAGAAAGAGGACAAAGAATCACATAATATTGTCTTCATCCCTTGTATGTGACTGAAATTTTATAGACAAGGAATAGTAAGTTACAAAATCTTGGTTGATGATACAGAGGCACTTATAGAAGATAAAAATCACTCCCAAATGCTTTCAATCCACTTATCAAAGTAATTTAGTTCTCAATTTAATGTCAGATGAAACAATATTGAACAAAGCAAACTCTTGCTGTATCTTAAGCCCTTTATTATAGTGTTCATAGTAGTAAATGCTCTAGTTAAGGGACAGCTTCCATTACAACCTCATCATTTTAATTATTGAAGTTTTCTTTTAGTTGAAGTGTTTAATGTATACTTTTCCAGCAAAGGTTTTGTTTGAATTGATCACTGGAAGGGAGTGCATACAAGGTTCCTGAGACTGCATTAGAAAGGGCTGCAAAGGAGAAGCTGTGTCATTACTTGTGAAGTAACCTGTAAGCAAGGGACAATGATGATAGCTGACATTTACTCAGAACTCACCATATGTTAAAAACTGGGCTAAGCACTTTATACCCATTGACTCATTTAATGCCTCAACAATGTATGAGGTAGATGTTATTACCCCTGACGCCCATATTAAAGAACAGGAAATAAGTAACTTGTCCAGGGTCTTACAACTAGTAAATGCTAGAACTGGAAAACAAGCTCAAAACTCTAGCTCCAGAATCTGCAAATTTGTGGTTAAATACACTTGACATTTGGGGGCTGGTGGGAATGAAACCAAGAAGCAATCATGGGGGTCATTTATACCAATTCCTTTCTTCAGAGGGGAAACTGGAGTTCCAGAACAGTTCATAATCTTGTGTGTCTGAAGCCTGTTCACCCAGCTGTACCACACCAAGTGATATGGATTTCTTCTCAGAATTCTCTTGGGCATGTCCTGGCTGGAAGAAGATTATCTTTTTGCTCAGGGGCCCTTTCCTTGCATAATCCTATTTATACCTCTGTTTCACTAGCATTGCAGACAAAATCATTAAAAGCAGCAGCCAGGTTTCTTTAGAAAGGGTTAGATTTAAAATTAGAGTGATATTGCACAATCCTGTGAATGCACTTTTAAAAATGCCCAATTCTGTGAATATACTTAAAAAAAAAAAAACTACTGAATTGTTTAAATAGACTAACTGTACGGTATATGGTATATAAGTTTTATCTCCGTAAAGTTTATTTCCAAAAAGGAGTGTATAACTTAAAAAAATAATAATAAAATTCCATTGTTTTTGAGATTCCAAATGGACTCCTCGCATGTAAGACACGGTGACCTCCTTCCTCACCCATTTCTTCTTATTATTCTTATTTCACATTAGAAATTCAACTAAGAGGTAGGCTCCCAGCGCCTCCAGGATGAAAGATAAGTACAGAGGAATGCTTGTTCCTGAAGTTAAGCAGATTTTAGATGTTTGTGTGTTGAGATTTCCAGTGACTACGTTGCAAATTTCACTGCTTAAAAAAAAGCTGAAGCGATTTTCAATTTAATTTTTTTTTAGTAAGATACGTTGGGTTATAGACCTAGTCCCAAAGTTTTAATTACAGCAATCATTTACTCCTTTCAAGTTCTTTTTCCAAATTAAAGGTAAGTGAAAAAATTACAAAATTAATGTTTTAAAATGGACTTTTATTAAAGATCGGTGCCTGTTAATGGTATCTATTTTTAACTGGAACCTCTTTGCGGCTTTAAGCCCGGGACAGCCACTCCGCCGGCTGAGAGTTAAGTGCCTGTCCACGTTCTCTCCCGATTTCTTTCGGCCTCGGTCAGTTCATTTGTTCATGCGCGCTCCTGACCGCTGGCGGGGAAGGGGCCAGGCAGGGTGGGAGGACTTCCTGCGGCCAAAGGCGGCCGAGCCGTCTGCAGAGATCTCGGGGGTCCGAACTCTAGGAGCCTTACACAGGTCCCTGCTCGGTGAAGCGCTGGGGGAAGACTGGATTGAGGACGAATTGATCACGTGAGGCCGGGAGAGGAGTTGGAGGCCGGGAGTCTGGAGGAATGTAGTAACTTGCAGGGAAAGTTTTCCTCAGAGGCCGGCAGCAGATTCGGCGCGGGCGGGCGCGCAGAGGAAGGAAGAGCCGGGAGGAGGCGGAGCCCGCCAGCGGCTCGGGCGGGCGGTTCTCTCAACTTTAGTTTTGGCGTCTGAGGCGAGTTTCTGTCTCAGTCGGGCTCAGCAGCCGCCGCCGGGAAAAAGAAAGGGAGGAAGGAAGGAACAAGAAAAGAAATAAAAGAAAGGGGGAGGGGAAAGGCAACTAGCTGCCCGGCTTCAGTCAAGGGAGTTGAAGGGAAAAAGTTCTCAGGCGCCGCAGGTCCGAGTTTCTCGCAGCCCCTCCCGAGGCGCAGCCGCCAGACCAGTGGAGCCGGGGCGCAGGGCGGGGGCGGAGGCGCCGGGGCGGGGGATGCGGGGCCGCGGCGCAGCCCCCCGGCCCTGAGAGCGAGGATAGCGCCGCTCCCGCCGCCCAGCGCCGCCCTCGCCGATTCTCCCGTCTCGGCCCGTCGAGCCGGGGCGTCCGGGCGGAGCCCTCGCCGCCTGGCCAGGGGGTGCGCGTCGCGGGAGGCAGAAGCCATGGATCCCGGGCAGCAGCCGCAGCCCCAGCCGGCCCCCCAGGGCCAAGGGCAGCCGCCCGCACAGCCCCCCCAGGGGCAGGGCCCGACGTCCGGGCCTGGGCAGCCGGCACCCCCGGCGTCCCAGGCGGCGCAGCAGGCCCCCCCAGCCGGACACCAGATCGTACACGTCCGGGGGGACTCGGAGACCGACCTGGAGGCACTTTTCAACGCCGTCATGAACCCCAAGACGGCCAACGTGCCCCAGACCGTGCCCATGAGGCTCCGGAAACTGCCTGACTCCTTCTTCAAGCCGCCGGAGCCCAAATCTCACTCCCGACAGGTAACCTCGTCGCCCTTCTCCCTCCTTCCCGGGCGGGCGGGCCCCAGGCTGGGGGGGGCGCTCGGGAGCCGCGGCCTCAAGCTCGGGCCTGGGGAGGGGGTTCCGGAGCTTCAGCGGGGGATGGGGGGGTGTCTCGTGGTGAAGTGGAGAAACTGGAGGCTCCCAGCCACGGTTGCCGGCCACTCCTCCCAGAGTCCCAAGCCGAGATTTGTTTTTCCCTTTGGAGTTTCTGTGGTTGCAGCCCCCCCCGGGGGGGCGTGCTTCCCCCTTCTTCCTTTCTTTCTTCCCGGGGTTCCCGGGAGGTTGGCGGGAGTGGAGGGGGATGTGGGGGAGGAAGGAAGGGGGTGGGGAGAGTCGGGCCCCGGCCGCGGTGGGCTTGCACAATGCGCGCGCCTCCGCGCGCTCTGCACCTTCTCTCCCGCCGGGGCCGGGCCGGGCCGGGGAGGGGGGAGGGGGACCTCTGGCATTTGTGTGTGGGTGAGTTGCCAGCGGCGGCGGAGTTTGTGAAGTTGAGCCCTGGGCCCCCTTTTCCTTCGGGGCCTCTCGGTCCACTTCAGTCTCCTGGGGAGTCAAATAATTGTTCTCTTGTTTTCCAGTGTTGATTAGGGGTGGGGGTTGAACCGGTCCATTTAGTTTCTTGCTCCTTCTCTCCCTCCCCCTCCGCCTCCAGCTCCCGAAAGCATTTATTTCCCTCGCGGCCCGGGCGCTTTCAGAATACAGGATTCGGGCTTCCCCTGCCCAGACTTTCCTGGAAGTTGTTTTTGGAGTTGTTTTTTTTTCCCTCCTCTTTTAAATCTCTGCGTTTCCCTTATGCGTTGGAACTCGGGCAGGCTCGCCCTTATCAAACTTAGTAAGTTCACGTGTTAGTTTTCCTAATTGTAGACTATTATTTACAGTCTGCCGAAATGCTTTTTAAATTAGCCACATCTGTACGTTGCGCAGGAACTGAGTTGCGCATTACAATACGGAGGTTTTAACACAAGCCTTTGATAATACACTGCAGGTTGACTCATAGTCCGAGTCCTGCCTAGTTCAACTGTGATTAAAAGTTAATGTTTGGGAAGCCATGACTAATTCTAGGATCGCCATTGCTTTTTAATTCCTATTGAGGATATGAACATGGCTGCTTTTCTACACACACATCGTTCGATTATTTTGCCAACTTGATTCAACATTGAAATGAAACGATTAAAATTCCGATAGGCCCTAGTAGGATTTTCTTTCTTTCCTTCTTTTTTTAAGAACTCGCTTCAGGCTAAACTAGCAAGGAACTTTGCCCAAGAGTTAATTGGTTTTCCAAATACTGCAATGTAGTTAGCCCACTCGGGCTGTAACTTGAGTGGAAAGAAGAGGTACCGCCCCCACTCCTATTCCCCTCCTTTTTGCAGGCCTGTTGTATTTTCTGTTGCAGACCAAAGGATTTTTGGAATAGAGAAAAGCTCACTAAACCTGATGACAAAAACTTGGGTTAAGGAGGAGGAAGGAAAAATTATTTAGTTGCTTGCGTAAACAATTTGTTAGATGTAGACTTGGGTAGGCTTTTTTTCCATACCCCTGGAAGAGGGTTTCTGGACTCATTATGGGTAAATGTATATTGGCATGCACACTATAGACAACGCAGTGAAGTTGTTAGTTACATAATAGCCGTTGAAAGTATACACAGGAGATTTCACTACTCGTTTTGTGGCGTCTGTAACCCAAAAAAGAAATGCAACTGAAACATGAAAAGTGTACTTGCACTTACAGTACACAGTTTCACAAGAATTTATATGCAGAAATTTGCAGATACATGTTATTCATAATTCCCTGTAGTTTGTTTAATTTTTTAAAAAACAAGTGTTGTGCATCTGAAAAATTATTTCTGCTAATGATTTCCTCATTAAAATTTAATCTGACTGGGCACGGTGGCGAATACCTGTAATCCCAGCGGCTTCCGAGGCTGAGGCAGGAAGATTGCTAGTTCAAAGCCAACCTCACCAAGCAAGTTAGTGAAACCTTGTCTGTAAAGAAAACACAAAATAGGGCTGGGGATGTGGCTCAGTGGTTGAGTGCCCCTGAGTTCAATCTCTGATACCCCCCAACCCCCAAAAAAATTTTTGATGGGAAAGTCAGAAATACATATGACTTTGCCTTAAGGTGTAAATGCGTGCTGATTCCTTCCGGTTTTCTTTTCCTTGCCTATATGAATCCTAAGTTTTTGATGACCAAGCCCTGATTCTAATAAAGAAATTTTAAAAATATACAATATATGGTATGAATCTGGGTTGCAAATATTGTCCACAAATTGGGAACTATAAATTCTCATATCTTCATTTTTCTATTACAGAAAAAGACTATTTTACAAAAGAGAAAACAGATTCACAGAGGTTATGATGTTTGTTCAGTGTCACATTATCCCACTTTGACTTGGAATTCACATCTTTGGGATTTTGAGTGCAGAATTTTCCTGCTGTTGCATAGTTGTAAATATGCATGTACATTCTTAAGTTATATCATAATTGAGCTGATAATATCTATCTGCTAGGTACAAAGAGGGTGTTTTTTTTTTATTCCATTCATTTTTGGACAGTTCTGAATCTTCTGAACTCATATAATGTTTGATGACTGATTTGTTCATCAATAAATCAGCATTTGCTCATAGTGAAAAGTATGAACTTGTTCACAGTGATTTGTTTTTTTCTAGACCTAGGAAGAAACAGTAACTTTAAAGCCTAGTGAAAGAATACTTAGTAGTTCTTTGGGTTGTGCTTATACCTGGAATATTTTAGAACTTGGAAAAGCAGTGCTCTGCTGAGCACTGAGCTACACCTCCAATCTTTGCCTTGTCCTTTTAGAAATTAGGTTTTAAAATTTAGTATTTACTATCTAGGAATCTTTCATTCTGTACTAGTTGTCTAAAAGATGTAGAAGCCATGTTTTATTTGTAGCAGGTAAAAATTCATTTAGATGAACTGCTCATCCATAAAATTATGTTTATAGAGCATATTAAAATTGCATCATTTAAGTGTTTTAAGAGGTCTCAACTGTATTGCCCAGGCTAATTCCTGGGCTTAAGTGATCGATCATCTCATTTCTGCCTTTAGAGTAGCTAGACCTACAGGCATGGACCACCACAGCTGGTTTAAAGTTACATAATTTTATAGTATTTATTTGAACACCTGTGTTTCTTAGTGTTAGTTATTAAATGTTGAAATTAACCTTTGCTATTTAGATATTTGGTTGCAATAAAATTCTATCTAGGAAATTTGAAAATTTTTCTAAATTTTTTTTTGTTTTGTTTTTTAAATTTTCATTTTAATATTCCTAATAGGCCAGTACTGATGCAGGCACTGCAGGAGCCCTGACTCCACAGCATGTTCGAGCTCATTCCTCTCCAGCTTCCCTGCAGCTAGGAGCAGTTTCTCCTGGGACACTGACCCCCACTGGAGTAGTCTCTGGCCCAGCAGCTACACCTACAGCTCAACATCTTCGGCAGTCTTCTTTTGAGATACCTGATGATGTACCTCTGCCAGCAGGCTGGGAGATGGCCAAGACATCTTCTGGTCAGAGATACTTCTTAAAGTAAGTGAAAATAATAATAATAAAAGCATGTATTAGAAAACATACTAAAGAGTCAAGATACCGAATATTATTTTTAATATTTTACTTAATATTTATGTCAAGCTCAATGTCTTCTATAATGTTTTCTTTCTAGTTTGGTATGAAATACCAAATCCTGTATACCTTCTTTAGCGTGGTTAATATTATCGAATGCTTGCTTGATTCTTGGTTCAGAGCCTTTTTACAGTCTCTTTTGGCAGTTTGGATAGTCTCATTTTGAGTTTTTGCCAAATGTGTTAATTAGTCTAGCAGAAAATAATTCTGAGAGTTAAAAGACTGTCATAGTCATATGAAATGTGTATGGTATTATTTATATAATTGTTTTATTTTTATTCTTTGGTTCTGGGGATTGAACCTAGAGCCTTGCAAATGTCAAACATACACTACTACTTAGCTGTACCCCAAGCTATCTATATTTTTATAAAATATTTTATTAGAGAAGAATTATAAGTAGGACTTTTGGAGGAGTCTATTTGTACAGTATTTTCAGCTATCTTATGACAAATATTTTAGCTGTAGTTTGATGTGATTTACCAGTTTTTCCCCAAAATGTGAAGAGGAATATAAATTTTTAGGTTTGATGTACACTCGGTGGCAAGCTTCTTTCAAGGTCATCAAAACAGAACCTCTCGTCTGGGAAAACAAGGCCACCAGGTTATTTGTTTTTATCAGTCTTTCTGACTTTAAGAAAATGGCAAAATTACATTAGGCTGAAAAGACCTAAGTAGAATTTCATCCTCTCTAATTTTGAAATTATTGGGAAAACTTTAATTTTGTCTGGTTTGTTTGGATCTAGTGTACACATAATATTGTCTAAAACTAGTTGTTTTGAGGCTGAAATTACTCTTTAAAAATTCTTTTTAAATAATGAGGTTGAGATAATAAAGTGAAAATTCATGTTTTGATTCAGATAAATCTTGATAAATTTATTCAGATTTATCTTGATAGTCTACTCCCAGCAAATGTAAGATATATTTATTAGATCAAATAATGCAGTTAATGATATTCTTTTATTGTGTGTCTTAAAATGTGTTTTATATTGACTCTTTTGTGGTAGGTGGCTACTTTGCATTGTAAAATATAGAGTTTTATGACAGGCTTTTTAATAGCAGCAGAGGAAAGGTTTGATTTTGAAAAGTTTCTACCAATTTTTTTTATTTCTTTTCCTGCAACTTTTTTTTATTTTTAAAAATTTGTTTTCTGGTATTCTGGTATCTATTTCAAATGGTTAGGTTTCAACCAGAAAAATAAAGGGCCTGAGACTGGAAAGTACACACAAGTCTGGCAAACTCATCTGCATGAGCAAGATCATTTGTTCTCAAGCAGACATCCAAAGTAAATGATTGAAAGAGCTGCTAGCTGAGAGGGATGTGTCTTGAAGGAGAGACAGTGGAAACAAACCAGGTTGTTAGGAAGAAAAAGAAAAAGCTGTACTTTTTGAACCTCTCCCTGCTGGGTCACATGTTGACCTGGGGAGATTTTTAAACAGCCTAATAGCCTGTTTGCCTTCTTTCTTTCTTTGATGCTGTGGCTGAAAGTATAAGGTTAAAAGAGCAACATTTACATTCTTTGTCTTTTTTATCTTACCATAATTGTAGGTGACATCTGCCTATATTTTCATTATTTTGAATGGTCTTTTTTTTTTTAGCTGAAATAGACTCTAGATATTTGTTTTTAAAATTTTCCAATAGGTCTTCCTTTGAAAAGAAATGTTTCTCTTAAAGATATTAATATGTAGATGAAATAATTAAGGGTGTACACATTTTCCTTGCTCATCTCATTTCATCCCTTCCCAGAGGGCCTGTAAAGAAGGTAAACCAGGCCAAAGTAAGAGTTATGCTCTTTGAGGAATGGTTGCAAGATTGGGGAAAGCTTCCTCCAGAAAGGAGAAACTGGCAAGTGGAGAGGTTAGACAGAATGTTCTTTCCATATTTTTGAGAGAGACTCATGTGAAAGTAAGATTAGGCTTATTATAATATGAGAAGGTTTGATTCTGTAAAACTTTCTTGTATCACTTTTCAGAAATAGAATGCTTTTCCCTGAGAAGTAAATCTTGGTTAGTAAAAGCAGGTGAGATGAATTAGTTGATATCTTTTGGGATTGTATATAAAGAGGTCCTCTAAGCATTGTATGTGGAAAACAGATTGTGGGCTTATAAAATTTCATATTTTGGGGGCTGGGGATATAGCTCAGTTGGTAGAGAGCTTGCCTCACATACTCAAGGCCCTGGGTTCAATCCCCAGCACCATAAAAAAGAAAAGAAAAGAAAAACATAGTTTTCAAAGTTATCTGCCCTATGAAAATATGCAGTTTGAAGAAATGTTAAGATTAGCTTACCTTCTTAAGTTGTTATTTTTGTGTATACTAAATAGCTAAATGGAATTAATATCCTCCCTGAATAAAAGATGATGATAACCTAAACTTCAAATTCATTTTTGTCGTAGTTTTAATGTCTTATATCAGAATCTCATACTGGGTATATGGCTAATACCTGTAATACCAGCTACTCCGGAGGCTGAGGCAGGAGGATTGAAAGTTTGAGGCAACCTGGGCAATTTAATGAGACCCTGTCCCTCAAAATAAAATACAAAAAGGGGCTAGGGATGCAATTCTGGAGAGCACTTACTTGCTTTGCATGTGTAAGGCCCCAGATTCAGTCCCCAGTACTACCACACACAAAAAAAGTTCTATGTATTTTGTGTCTGAAGATTATTGTTAGCAGCTGGAGGTAGACTAAAGTTTTAAACTTGTTGTATGCTTATATTTGAACAGTGAAAATTTTATCTTACTGTGCATTATTTCAAATATTTGATGGAGCTTTTAAGTTACAAAGTATAGCATTTATTGAGATTTATGCTCGGCAGGAAGAACTCTTGACTGTAAATGGCCCAAACATGCAAGGTGATGTAATTTGAGAGAACACTTAGAAATGTTGACTTTGGAAACACTAGTTATTAACTTTGACTGTAGATAAATGTATTTTTAAGTCATTTGGCCAACACTCTTATTTTGAAGGCAGTATACTGAAGAATTACAGCCATCATTAGTATTTTTAAAGCCCTCCCTGGGTCAGTGAGACCTTCTGGAGAAGACTTGACCCTTGTCTTGGCAAGTGATATAATGGAAATATGGTACTAGGACAGTTATCAACCACAACATTTTCAAGCTCTGAGAAGATTATGATATATGTGAAAAAGATTAGTCATTATATACTACATATAATACTTTTTCTACTGAACTTCCTGTTTGAAACTAATTTCTTCAACATAGTACCTTGCGATTTATTTTAAAAGAATTAATTCTCTTTACAACTCAGTTACTGCCTTCTTCAGATGTCCTTATAGTTTTCCTACAGGAAATAGTTTTTCAAGTAGTTGGTCAACAACTTCCTATTTCTTTATAAGCTGCTGAATAACTTCCTGAATTGGTATTCTATAATATCTTTGGTTATTAGGAGTGTTTTTACCTCTCAGATTTATTTTATTGACTCTAATACCTTGTTAACCATTACCACGTACAGTGAACTTTTTGTACATACTGTACTGTTATAATTCAATTTAAAGAATGTGATCCAGTGATTTAACAAGCTTGTATATTTACATTGTTTTAATATTGCTGTTATAATAATTTTTAAAAGATAGTTTTATTTCATTTTTATTTATCATTTTCTGAACAGTGGTGTTAGTGTTTTTACTTCTTGAAGATTCAAGATTTCTTGTGGTTGGGATTCACTTAAAAGTTATACTGAGTGGGGCTGGGGATGTGGCTCAGTGGTAGAGTGCTCGCCTAGTGTGCATGAGGTACTGGGTTTGATCTTCACCACATAAATATAAAATAAAGATATGTGTCCATCTAGGGGCTGGGGTTGTGGCTCGGGGTAGAGTGCTCACCTAGCATACATGAGGCACTGGGTTCGATCCTCAGCACCACATAAATACAAAATAAAGATACTGTGTCCATCTAAAACTAAAAAATAAATATTTTTTTTAAAAAAAAATTATACTGAGTATCTTTGTGTGTGTGTGTATAGTTGTTGTTGATGATGAACCTTTTTTGGGGGGATACTGGGGATTGAATTTAGGGGCACTGAACCATTGAGTCACACCCCTAGCCCTATTTTGTATTTTATTTAGAGACAGGTCACTGAGTTGGTTAGCACCTCGCTTTTGCTGAGGCTGGCTTTGAATCTCAATTTCCTGAGCCACTGGGATTACAGGTCTGTGCCACCACGCCCTGCTTATTCTTATTCTTGTGTGGCTCTAAGAACCGAGTGCCTCACACATGCTAGGCAAGCACTCTACCACTGAGCCACAATCCTGGCTTGGATATTCTGAGTATCTTGATCTATAGTTTAAAAGGGTATTTTTTTCAGAGTTTTTTTTTTTTTTCTTTGACACTGTGCAGGATATAATTTAGGCACATACCATCATTAAATAAAACTTGCCTGGAGGATCCAATTGATGCTACAACTATTTTAGAAACAAATGTTCCACTGCCCTAATTAAAGCTTCCATGATCACCATTGTTTCAGTTAAAGGAAACAAACTGCTTTTTAGTTATAATTTGATCATACCTTCTCTTCTCAAATATTTGCCCAATGGAAAATCATAAACACATATGGTGCATACTATCAGAATAAAGATTAAATTATTTTTAAAAAGGAACAGTTTTAACTGTAGCTAATATAATTCACATGACTTTCATTTAAAAATGAAAAGCTCTTAACTTTGTCTTGCTATGAAACTGAGTGGAGAGAGAAGATGAAAGTATGCCTTAGCTCTCAGAAAAAAAAAGTGCTTGCTTATGCTCAGTGGGTGGGCATCCCTGGGAAGAATGGCCCCCACTGGCACATTGATTTAGGGAGAAAAACTCAGGAGGAAATGTATTCACCAGTGGCAGAAGAAAAACAGTTGGAAGATAGTGGATGTGACAGAGTAAATAGAACATAAAGATTAACTGAT